CACGGCGGCCCCTCCGCAGCGCCACAAGGTGCCCGCCTTTGGCGACAGCAAAAGCACGCCCTGCTCCTTCTCAATCGAGAGTATTTTGGGGCTGGAGCAGAAAAAAGATGGCATTCCAGCTGGGAAACCTCACAGACCCTGGATGGATGCATGCACCAGCTTGGGTGAGTCAGTCTGTTTTGTACCCCCTTCAGTTCTTACCCCTTAAAAATACTGGCGTGTTTCTACTACAGACCAGTAAACTGAAGTTCTCCTTTTCTTGCTCTTTCTAGTTTTAGGTGATGACAGTAATCCCCATCTGCAAATCCCTGTTGTTTGCTATGAAAATCCATTATTTCATGCTAGAAGTGATCCAGTGCAAGAGGAAAACGTTTTGAAATGTGAAAAATACTTTTCAGTCACTGAAAGGCTGTCTTTCAAACGGGAATTGAGCTGGTACCGGGGTAGAAGACCAAGAACTGCATTCACTAGAAGCCAGGTAGGGCTTTCCTTAGCATCTAACAAATGGGTAACAATGTAGTTGAGTAAAATGTTGGAAGGAACCTCTAACAGCTGCTAAGCTCCGTGTGATGTACCTCTGCAGAGAGAAACGTCATCAGGAACTGGTGTAAATTAACAGGAATGTTGCTAATTTCAGCAGATCTGTGTTTATGCATAGAATCAGAATTGTGCAAACACTGATCAGAAGTCTCCTGTTGAACAAACTAAGCTGTTATTTTATTTATTTTATGTATTAGTGCTATGAACATAGTGTTAACTATTCAACAAGTGTATTTTAATCTCCTCAGATTGAAGTCTTGGAAAATGTTTTTAAAATGAACTCCTACCCCGGCATTGATATTAGAGAAGAGCTAGCTCGCAAATTAGATTTAGATGAAGACAGGATCCAGGTAATTAAAGACTTATTGAACTTTCCTGTAATTTCAGCTACAGGTACTCTCTGCTTATATACATAAGTGGTTTGACAGCAGTGATGAGAATTTAATGCTCTCAATTTAAACCAATGTATATACAAGAAACATGCCTTCAATGATTTGTGAAATGGAAACCATTGAATTCCTTCTGAAATCTAAAGCCTTCCATAGCACTGATGAGGAATTAATCACCGTAATATTGCCACAATATCTGCTCTGTTAATCTCTAGATATTACCTGCAGAACTTGGTAATTTCCTTAAAATAATTTTTATGTTTTGCTTGTCATCATATTTGAAAAATAAATTCGAAACAGGCATGGACATAATTTGTGAGACTGCCAGCAGAGCATAGGTGTGTTAAACCTGTGTTTGAACCTATGTCTTTCTCTGGCCAAAAGCAAAATCTATTCAGGAATGTTAATTATTGATTTCCAGGTAATTCCATGTGATAAGAAGCACACTGTAAACATAAGAATTTGGGCTTTGCTTTGTTGTTTATCAGGCTTTTGTTGCAGTTATTATATTGGGCTTCATGAGAAACTTGATGCTGCAAATAGTTAAGCAGATGAAGAAATAGCACAATAAGACGTGTGAATTCCAGATGTTCAGGATCTTCCAGGATCTGATTCTGTCACTGAATTTAATTCCAGTTTTTATATTAATTACAGTGAAGCTGATCTCATTTTCCAGTTAACCTGGGGATATTTTCTTTGTCTGTGGTGTTAAAATTACAGGCATCTGCAGATTTTAAATTTATATTGAACTTGCAAGCTGCTGTCATCACACCAAATATTGTCCTATTGTGTGAATACTTTTAAGTTTCAATTATTATTCTGCTTCCATTGCTGTGTTTCTGAAAAGCTTCCCTTCTCTTTCCATTTCAGATCTGGTTTCAGAACCGCCGTGCAAAGCTGAAAAGATCCCACAGAGAATCTCAGTTTCTAATGGTGAAAAATACTTTCACCTCCAGCCTGCTGGAGTAGAAGGAAGGATGCTTTGCTGTTACAGTACTGCTACAGAAAATGAAGAATTGTTCATAACCTGTATTAAGTAATGATATAGTAATTATGATTTTATGCCCAGATTTGAAAGTTTATTATAATTTTCATTCAAATAAACTGTAAATACTTGAAGTATTATTCTAATCTACTTTTTGTGGGAAAAGTGAACTTTTCCTATACATATTTGAGTAAGTATTTTCAGAGATTTTGAGATATTTTTACAGTTTAAACCAATGCAAACCCTAGGTTGCACAAGAATTTCACTATTATGAATTACTGCAGGTCACTTGACAAGCTCTATGGTCTTAGAAGTATTCTGTTTTAAGTCTGAAATAAACTGTATGCAAAATAGAATTTGCTACAGGGAACAGTTTGTTGCATTGCAGTTTAAATTGCTTATTTATAAAGAATATGATAGTTTTCATAAATAAGATAATTTTAGAAAAAGGTATCTGCAATGGAAGGACTAATATTCAACTGACTTCACTTTTAACCATTGCTCAGTTAAAAGAAGCTGACTATTATAATATTTTTATGTAATTTTAATTAATTTAGGTTATTTGCCTATTTAATTCTCTGACTTGGTTATCTCCTCTCTTGTCAGTCTAACTGTTCCAGTTATGGAAATTGCCCTATTATCTTTTAATGACAGAATGTAGCATGTCACGGGATCAGATCAGTGGGGCCAGACCAGATATCCAGATCATTGCCATTTATTTAGGGGTGTTGAATTCATTTTTATCAAACAATACATGAAAGTTAATTATCCTCATATTTGATATTGTACCTAAAGTCAAAGAGAGCCATACACCAAAAAAACCCTCAAGTGTTTCTTCATGGGCACAAGGCAGGGAAACATTGTGAGTTCAGGTTGATGCTGCTGCTTGTTCAGCAGGGCTCTGAGCACTTGCCTCATGTGCTGGTGACCTTCAGTGAGACTCCAGCTTGTGTTTCTTGCTCAACATAAATTCCACATTATCTCATGAACAGACAAAGTATTGCTCTTCCTTTCTTCATGCTTCATGTATCCACAGCTCTTGTCCAATAGGATGAAAGGTAAGTTGATAAAATAGGGTGATAGAAAAAATCATTTTATGTAGTCTCATACTTGGAAAAGCTAAAGGGAGGGATGATCTGACTGTCCTTACTATTTTGAGTTATAGTTTGAGCTACAAGAGATTAAATAAAAAACATTTCTATATTTTCTGAAAAATATCACTGGAAAACTGCATTACTCTAGAACTGGGTGACAGATACTGGCCCTTCCATGTTTTTATCTTCATTGGCTCATTGCCTTCACTTTTATGCAGAACCCTAAAAATCTTTGTTTGGCTTTGCTCCTGGAAATCCTATTTTAATAGGGAAATAACAAACTTTTATCTGATATTGAAACATTATTTTTTGTGCTTTATTGGATTTGGGAAATAACATTGCTAACCAAATTCTGTTGTATCCTGCATTCCAAAATACTTAAGAAACCACAAATAAAGCAATTTAAATTGAGCCAGATCCATTAAGAATAGTTTTTAGAGAAATTGAAATCTCAATTCAGATACCTGCCTGATCTGGTAAAGGCAAAGACAATATTGTGAATGCATTCTTTTATTTTGTTTTTCTTCACACCTCAAAACGTATATTGCCCATAGCTTAACCTCATTGCAGGTAATCTGAAACTATTGTCTACTTTGCTTCTGGAAACAAAGTTTCCAGCAGCAGCAGATTAGACTAATCTGTACAGATTGATTGCTTAAGAACCTTACTCTATTATCTGGCAGATACCTAAATACACCTAAAGTCTGCTCTAATGGAACTGGTGTCAAGTGACGGAAGTCTGACAAAGCAATTTAAGAGAAGCTGTAGAACAGTGGCAGAATAATAATAGCACCAGCCCTGCTATCCTGCTCTCCATTAGCAAATGTTACCAGCAGGGTCTTTAGTGTGAGGTGCTAGGAGTGTCCCACACAGTGCTAAGGGGAAAAGAATTTAAAAGCAGAGTTGCATGATTTGCTGCGTTTGGCTTAGCTTGTTCTTCCCAGAGTAAAGGAATCAGCAAGTCAAAAAAGAGCCTCTCACTTTGCATTTCTACCTGTTTTGGCCAGCATGGGTTTAAATTATGCTCATGACTTTCTCAAATACAGCTGGATTGTTTTCTACCTTGACAAGTGTTAGTGTGGACTTCACAGGGTTTGTCTGGTCCTGGCAATATGCAGGGCTGCCTTGGCAATGGGTGTGACAGTTGTGTTTGCTGTGCAGGAGCAGCAGTGGGGGAGGCCACCTGCATGCTGGAATCCAGCCCTGCTCTTCCATTCCTTGGATTGATTTAGTTTCCATATTAATTGTTAGGCTGATGATCTTTGTCCCTTTATTTTAAAGGACTTGCATAATTGGATGGGAAATAGAAGGTATTTTATTTTTAAAAATACTTTGGAGCTATAGTGATTGACCTGAATTATTATTTCATGCCCTGGTATTTGTTTAATGGATCCATCTTGAATCAAAATCACATTCTGTGATTTTATATGAGCAACTTATAATATTTTATGTATGTATTTGATAAAGAAAGAGTAAAAAGACAAGGTATAATAATCATTATATGAGGGGGAGCTGGGGCTGTTCAACCTCTTGGGGATCCCACCTGATTGCTTCAAAAGGGAGCTCTTGTGGTCACAGCAGGCAAACAGGGCTGTTGGTGAGGGAGAGGAAACCAGGGCTGCTGAGCAGCCTTCAGTTCTAGATTCCTTTGTGGGGGAATAGTGCCTGGACTTGTGTGACATGAGGGGAAAGGGCTACAGAAAACAGGGAAACCAGTCTGTCTATTCTGGGCACCCAAAGCTGGTATTGGTGGCCAGCAGCATTTTCAGGACAGTCCCAGGAAGGGTGAAGTGTTGCCTTTCATGGCCCAGTGTTGCCACTGAAGTTTTGCTTTCTTAGATTAACTAACAAATGGAAAACGAATCATGTACTCGTTGAGTTTACAGCAATAAATTGGATTTCTTTTAATACTCATTTTTTTGCAGGACACTGTTTAAGCAAGGAGGTAAAAACATGGTAAAAATGCCTAGGGATATGGGCTTTGGTGTAGCTGGGTGTGATTGCCAGTGACTTTCATTCCCCTGGGTATGTTTTACATTTGATCACATGGATGTGCTGTGGGGCTGGTATTAGAGTGACAGAATAAGCACTGCATTGCTTGTGCCTTAAAAAATAAAAGGAAAAAAGAACAAAAAAAGCAGTGAAAGGACAGATTTTGCAAGTGTGTTTTGATCCATGTTGTGAATCAGTGTGAAGTTCAGCGTCTTGAGCAGAGTATGTTGTGGAATCACACGGGTGCAGGTAGTGCTTTTGATATTAAATATCAAGCAGGGTCATCTGGCTTGGGATGTTGTAAGGATCTGTATGTGTGACCAGCAAAATTGATACAACACCTAGACTGAAAGAGAAGTAAATATTCCTTCTTTCTGCATTTATGTTCCAGGATTTTTTTTTCCTAGCTCCTAAACCAGGTTTTTCTCTGCCACTAGGATGGCTTGAAGGACAGAAGTAGGCAGGTGATATAAGATAGTCCCCTTCATTAAAAATTATCTATGTCACTAGTCTTGTTATTAATCACTATGAAATTTTGGGATTTTGCAATTTTTAAATTGCATGTGTTTCAAACTCATTATCTCATTGTGACCTTTAAAAAAAATCCATAACCTTGCATCAACTCAATTATTGCACCTTCTTTTTCTCTGATCCTTCCTTGCTCTCTTAGAACTGAATTTTTATTTTACCAGTCCATGACATTTTACTACTTCTAAGGTTTTAAGTGCCTGACCACAATTTCTAGATGCTGGAGCATTCTATTGTCTGTATAACCAAATTATGTTTTATAAAATGAAAATGAAAAAAATATTTTATTGATATATTTCTTACTTTTAATCTTTAGAATTTTATTGTATGGATCATAATAATACTCCAGAGTATCTTGTGATTCAGTTTCTATGAATGATGCCATATTAAGGAAATTAAGAAGATAGCAGATAAAGTATTCTGTACTAAAAATCTCTGGCTGTTTATTTGGCTTTTCCTTATAAATTCAGGCTTTAAAGTCATACATTTTGGAACGGTTTTAGTCTGTGTTTGAGCTGCTTAGGAAAGCGCTGGGCTGCTTCTGCCCTCTAGAGGCTGCATTTAGCCATGGCAGCCCCGCTGCTGAGGGATTGAACCCGCGCTCTGCCGCGGGGCCGGGGCGCGCCGTGCCCGCAGGGATTGACTGATCCTTCCAATTACACAACATCTGTGCCCCAATTGATGTTCTGCACACGTACGGGGCCTGATTGCCCAAAGCTCCAGTGCTCACTATTGAACTGCACTTAGTGATGGGTGGCTGCTGAATGGTTTTGATGCTCTGAACAGCCAACCTTTTAAAATCTTACCTCTAAAGGAATTTAGGCTGCTGTTGGGACTCTGTGTCTGTAAGACTGCCCAGCTTTGTCAGTTTATGGTAGGAGAATATTTTCACATTCCAGAAAGGAATTCTCAGGAAGGGTTTCCTCACAAAAAGGGTTGTTAAACATCGGGGCTGCCCAGGGAGACGCTGGAATTGCCATCCCTGGAGATGCTCCAGAGACCTCTGGATGTGGCACTGAGTGCAGTGGTCTGCTTCAGAGGGTGGTGGTTGGTCAAAGGTTGGACTCGGTCTTAGAGGTCTTTCCTAAGCTAAATGATTCTGTGAAAGCTTTTGACAAAGTATCCTGCAGTTCTAGAATAACTCCTCTCATTATGGTGTAAAACTTAGAATGACTTCTGCTACAACATCTACTAATATTCTTCTGTGATGATAAATACAGTGTTGTCAATGCAAATATTTGCCAGGCAAAAAACTTATTGCCACCAGATTTTCAGTTTTCATTGTTTCATCACATTAGAAGGATAAGAAATTACTTTGTGCTGTTTAAATACTGTGCACATTTTAACCATTCTTATTGCTTTCCAAATAATTCAGAGCAAAATATTTAAAAATATTATATTATCCATCTGTCATGATTCAAATATTTGTAGGATTCTCTAACTTCAGAGTAGCATTCCATTGTGTGATATGGGATGTGGCTGTCTGACAATATTCCTGTAGTTTGCTGTAATTCATTTTGGCAGAGAAAGGAAGTCAGAGGGAAGCATTCTCAGGAGGCATCAGCACTGCCCTTAGAATGCTGAGACTTCTGTAAAATTTAAGTTGGTTACATGGAAAATCTTTTCTTGGGGATGTTTTTGTTGAAATTAAACTGATCCAGTCTTTTCCTTCTTTCCTCTGTAAACATACAACCCTGGGCAGTTAGTTTTATC